ATTATTTAATGACTTTGGGGCCTTTTTGGGTACCGAAAGCCATAAATAAAGACTACTTGGACCCTCAGGGGTTTCGGGCGGGAATAGGGTGTGAGGATCGGGGTTCACACTCGGGTTCGGTTTTCAGACAGACGATCAGGGTGAGGAGTCAGGGTGTATGGTTTCGTGCAGCAGGGCAATATAGGGGCCTTCTTAATTACCTAGTACTGTGGGGTTTCCTTGTTCTAGTTGTAGTATAATGTACCCCAAAACCCTATTCTAATGATTCTATAATTATTAAGGCCAGTAGATTAGCATTTCAAGCTAGAGCCTTTCCATAGTGTATGCTCATGGGGAAGGACTACACTGCCCTGCTGGAACAGCCGATCGCTGCCCTAGGTCATATCGCATACCTGTCGGGAGACAAAAGAATCCCCGACAGCTAGGAAGATCTAATATAGTGGCCTTATAATAATTACCTATAGTATTTTGGGTTCCTTATTCGAATTATAGTATACTGGGCCCCAAAGCCCTTTTCTAATTATTAAGGCCCCTACATTACCCGAGTTTGTCTCCGCTCCGCTCACAGACTGCATCATCGCAACAATATGCCCTGCTGCAAGCCCTGGACTTTGTTCGCCCCCCGAATTGGGAGTTTCCGAAAGTTAGGGTACCTTATTTTGGGGTCCTTATAATAAGGATCCTATTATTTAGGGTGCCATGTTAGGGTCCCCTATTTTCGGAAACCCCCAATTGGCCAAGCCAAAACATGCAACGTGTCCACAGGATGCTGCTGGTCAAGCGGGAAGCGTGAGCTTCAACAACATGGTGGAAGTGGAAGCTTTGGTCGTCCCCGTCTGCCCAGTTCATCATGGGAAGTTCATGCAGTATGAGGCCTTATCTGAGCTCTTAGCCACTCGGCTCATAATGCTGTTGGCCCCATGGCAAGCATAACAACATGTGACTTTCAGCAGACAAGGGGGCCAAATTCAGAGCCAGAACGAGTAGGATGCTTCTTAGCAGTGTCCCGATATGAGGTTCCATGAGTTTTCCGAAACTTCCACGTGGAAGGACGCCGGACGTCGAACCCCTCAGCCCTGCCCCATGAGCCCCAAGGGCCCAAACCCCAAGGCCTAAACAAACACAGAGCTCAAAGCTGCAAAAGCCCTTAAAACCCTACACCACCAACCAAACCCTAAACGCTAAACCCTACACCACCAACCCTGAAAGCCCCTAAGCTCTGAACCGCATAGCCTGGAAGCCCCGGATGCCCTACTTTGAGGTTCATGGGCAGTTATAAGTGGGGTTATAAGTGGGGTAACTATGACTATAACCCATATTAGGGGACTTAGAACCCTACGTACTTATAACTACCCATGAACCTCCACACGAAACCCTAAACCCTAAACCCTAAACCCTACTACCCATGAACCCTCCAAGCAGACATCGGAAGACCAGGCCGACTTCCAGAAGCTCAAGACAATGGCGCAGGAGACACATTGAAACTTTCTTGGGTTTTGAGGATGTTTCGGGCCGTTTAGGGTTTAGGGTTCAGGGTTTAGGGTTTAGGGTTTAGGGTTCAGGGTTTAGGGTTTGGGGTTTAGGGTTCAGGGACACGGCATGCTACCATGTCATGGCGTATGTAGTAGTGGTGTGGGTCCCAGTAATTACTATTACTATGACCACCACCGCCGCTGCTACCACCGCTGCTACTACCCGTGTTAGGACCAGTACCAGTAAGAGTAGCTGTCGACCCTAAACCCTAAACCCTAAACACTACAAACAGAAGCGACAGCAATGAACCAAGGTTCTCGTAAATATGGTGGAAGTCGCACTGTAAACACATAAAACAACTAATTGTAGGCTTGACTTTTCGCTACACCTAAACCCTAGACCCTAAACCCTAAAAAACTCAACCCTAAACCCTAAACCCGCATGACTTTTTGCATCCACGTTTTTGAGCACCAGCTGCCACCGTCAAACTCTCGCTTCTAGAACGACACCTCGTGTGAGCTCCAGTATCGTCTCAGAACCAGGCCGTATCATGGGGCGTCCGTTTAGACGTTTAGGGCTTGCAGGCCCTAAACGCTAAATCCTCCTCCCTAAATCCGAAGCTGTAAACCCTAAATCCTAAACCCTAAACCCCTAGACCCTAAACCTTAAACCCTAAACCCTACTTGAAGGATCGTGG